AGAGGATGAGGCTGGCACCTCCCTGAGGAATTCACACTTTTGTGGCTGGCATTTCTTGGGAGCTGGAGGTTCAGTCTGGGTAGATTCTTGCTAGAGGTTGTAGCTAATAAACATTGCTGGACTGAATTTACATGGTCTCCTGGAGTTCCTTGGGCTAGGCCTGGCAACTTGTTTAGGATCCAGGTGAGATTTTTGGTATCCAATATGGATTATGGACATTATAGTTCAATATGTCTAGTGGGCTGCAGAAGTTCTGGGAAGTACTTCCAAGCCTATGGGCCAGGAAGACAGAAAGGGTGGAGCCTCTTTAGAAAGCATACTTTCAGTAAAGGAGGGTACTGAAGCAAGGATGATGGACAAAGATATTTTGGGATTTAAAAGTGCTTTTAGCATGACATTAATTTAGGCATTCCAAAAATTAGCTGTCCCTTTAACTTCTAATGGGGGAGTGCATTTTAAGAACCATGTGTAGATACAAACAGATTCAGTAAAGGAGAGAAAAAGAGACAAGTCCATATATAGCAAACTGAACCAACTACATTTTAATAGTGTGCGCTGTGCAAACCCAGTCCCAGTGGTTAACTCAGTGTGTTGTACACATGAAAGTTTTGGAGTTATTTCAAGAAATTATGTTCAGTGAATCATATCTTAGGGTGTTGTCAGAAGACCATTTTCACACTCAGGGAACTTTGTTTCTTGCTACATTTTCAGGGATATTTCTTCATCCACTAAAAATTTTGCAACAGGAAAACATTACATTTAGACATAAAATTCAACTTTTCAAGGAGCGATTTGCCTTTCAATTCATTACTATGTCCAACGAAATAAGACAAAGGCAATGATAGCATAACTTGAAAAAAAATAGCTTAATGCTTTCTGTTTCATGACAGTTATTTTGTGAACATTTAACTCCACGTTCGTGCAATCCAACCAGGCTTAACTCTGCTGGCCGTGGAAGACATCAGAAAAATTTCTAAGAGGAGCCAATCAAATAACCTCAGTCGTTTGTCTTCAGCAGCTTTGCCTACCGTAGACAAAAATTAATCTCTGTAAATACTGGCATTCCTATATACAGGAAGAATATTAGTATCTTAATGGCAGAAACGGCCTTATTATTCTCCTCCTCTACATCGATGAAGTCAACAAGGAGGAATTTCACTAGATGTCTCTGGGAAATCCCCCTACAACTGGAAGAAGCACAGCCGAAATTATCTGATTTTTCTGCACGGCACTGCTTCCTTACCATAGGCAGCACGAAACCTTGATTGTAATCCGTGTGCTCTCCGATCAAATTCACCCTTCCGGGCGCCGACACTGCAATTTTAGGATCTACCCCTCCATAAATCCTTTTGTACACTTCCCGAGCGGCTGCCAGCAGCGACCCCACCGGGTCGGAGTCTCCCCGTTTTTCCATGACCCCGATTCGCTTCCAAAGTGCAGGTTCGAATGCTAAAACTGGCGTTCCGGGACAGACGGAGCCTGGTCCTGCGCAGACGCGCAACTTCTCCCACGGCAGCATCCGCGTTCTGATCAAGGCCCGCCCCCTCGGCGTGCCCCTCTCGGGCGTCCTGCTCCGGGAACACGGAGCTGAAGCTCCGCCCTCATAGCGCCTGGATGTCCTCTAGGGGTCGCTGGTTCGACTTCGAAGCCTGTCTCCGCCCTCCGGCGGTGCGCTTCCTGGGTTTCTTTCATAACGGCGGATAAAGACTCTCTCTGCGCTTTTTATCCCCGCTGCAAAGTACAGGGTCCTGGCCCTGAGGGGGACGAAAGTACAAGTCTAACAAAAAAGAAGAAAAGGCTTTGCTGTCGTTTACATTAAGTAATACTATTATTTCTAAGTTAATTATTTGAAGGGTGGAGCATAAACAAACAAAAGCCTAAAGAAAAGCAAACAAAAACCTCTCCTACCAATCGACTAACAGACTAACAGTAATATATTCGACTCCTCAAAGTTCAAGTTTACTACCTAATATCCTGAGTAGAAAATGCTTCAGAATTTGCAAAACCATTTGATGTGCGTGCTGTTAAGTCAATATTGACTCTCAGCACGCACATAGACCTTCTCCAGGAGGATCTATCCTCAAACTGGCCCTTTAGGTCTCCCAACAGGGCACAGATCACCACTGTAGCTGAGTTCGTTCCCCTTGCTGCTGGTTCTCCTCTTTCCTTCCAGATTCCCATCATAAGGGACTTTTCAAGGAAGCTGGATCTTCCTATAATGTGTCCAAAATATAACAATTTGAGCCTGGTCATTTGTGCCTCAAGAGGGAATTCTGATTTGTTTTATTGATCCATTTGTTTGTTTTCTTGTCTATGCATGGTATTCTGAAATGTTTTCTCCAATATCAACGTTCAAAACATTATGTTCTAATAGGATAGGCTCATGTTCTTATTTTCTAAGGTATCTTGGATGTTGATATTGCTAATATATAGAATTTCAGTATACTTCTTCCATCTTCGTTTGATCTTTGAATCAACTACTGTCTGTGTTCTTTCACATACCAGTTTGAGGTTGGAACCTCCTGAATTTGGAGATCTTTTGGAAGATTTTCCTTGTTTTTCCATGTTTGTTTCCATCTTCCATGCCTGTATAGATGTTATGATACAGCTTTTTGTCTAATCTAACAGATTTCTGAAATTTATTGATTTAAAATATTTACATGGGCAGCCATCTTATGCAATATAATCTTGGGGAGTTAACAACAGCAACATAGAAAATAAAACAAGAAATCCAGAGAATTAAAATCATTGCAGTCCCATGCCAAATATACAGGTGAAACTTGAAAAATTAGAATATCGTGCAAATGTTCATTTATGTCAGTACGGCAACTCAAAAGGTGAAACCAATATATGAGATAGACGCATTACATGCAAAGCGAGATATGCCAAGCACTTTGGACCACTGGGCAACAGACCAGTTCTTTTTTTCTGTAGCCCAGGTAAGACGCTTCTGATGTTGTTTGTTGTTCAGGAGCGGCTTGACAAGAGGAATACAACATTTGAAGACTTTGGACCACTGGGCAACAGACCAGTTCTTTTTTTCTGTAGCCCAGGTAAGACGCTTCTGATGTTGTTTGTTGTTCAGGAGCGGCTTGACAAGAGGAATACAACATTTGAAGACTTTGGACCACTGGGCAACAGACCAGTTCTTTTTTTCTGTAGCCCAGGTAAGACGCTTCTGATGTTGTTTGTTGTTCAGGAGCGGCTTGACAAGAGGAATACAACATTTGAAGACTTTGGACCACTGGGCAACAGACCAGTTCTTTTTTTCTGTAGCCCAGGTAAGACGCTTCTGATGTTGTTTGTTGTTCAGGAGCGGCTTGACAAGAGGAATACAACATTTGAAGACTTTGGACCACTGGGCAACAGACCAGTTCTTTTTTTCTGTAGCCCAGGTAAGACGCTTCTGATGTTGTTTGTTGTTCAGGAGCGGCTTGACAAGAGGAATACAACATTTGAAGACTTTGGACCACTGGGCAACAGACCAGTTCTTTTTTTCTGTAGCCCAGGTAAGACGCTTCTGATGTTGTTTGTTGTTCAGGAGCGGCTTGACAAGAGGAATACAACATTTGAAGCAACATAGAAAATAAAACAAGAAATCCAGAGAATTAAAATCATTGCAGTCCCATGCCAAATATACAGGTGAAACTTGAAAAATTAGAATATCGTTCCGATATTGTTCTATTTCCAATCCTTGTGTTATTGATGTCATGTAATATTCTAATTGTCTGAGATTGTGAATTTGGGGTTTTCATAAGCTGTACGCCATACTCATCACAATTATACCAAAGTAAGGCTTGACATATCTCGCTTTGCACGTAATGCGTCTATCTCATATATTGGTTTCAGCTTTTGAGTTGCAGTACTGACATAAATGAACATTTGCACGATATTCTAATTTTTTGAGTTTCACCTGTACATGTGCTAGGCTCAACTCACAAATGCAATCAAAGAAAGAGAATGCTTGTGAAGTAGGAAACAGTGTGATTACGCTCAGTAGTTAGGTTGGATGCCTGATTAACCCTCTGCAGAATTGTTATCGCTATGAAGAAAAACCTGCCAAACTTGGCAAGCAACTTATGCTGTCTACGTGACAGTCGGTGCTCTTGGGGGTTAAGCACTGCTGTTGGTTTCCAGACCAATGGCTTCCTCTGTGTAGTTCTCAAGCCTTGTTCCTTTCTACAGTTTGTGGCCATTGATTGAAAACAGCTGGCCTGAGATAGACCTGTATTTCAAAACTACCCAGACAGGGAAGGTGTTTAAGAAGCATACTAATCACCCACATCATGAAGATGGGAAATGGCCCCTGTCCACTTTACCATAAATGTAAAGGATTCAAGTGAAGTTCGACTTCTGCTGACCTCATGGACACACCCATGTAGTTTTCTGAACAGTAAGATTTACCGTTGTCATCTTCAAGGATGTTCCTCCACTTCCCACTCTGCCTTACAGCCAGGGCCAGCTTTAGGCTAAGGCCAAGTAGGCACTGGCTTATAGTGCCAAGCTTAAGGGGTGCCAATGCTGCCCTTCTGAATCATTCTAAAAATGCAAACCTTTGCCTTTTGGCAGAGGGTGGCACCATCAATCAATGTGGCTTAGGGGTGCCATAGACCCTTGAGCTGGCACTGCTTATAGCCCTGGATTTCCTGGTGGTTTCCCATCCAAGTAATAGCCAGGCATTCTGGTCCAGGATGGACCTTGCTTAGCTTTCGAAATGAGCCAAGGTCAGTCAGTAAATCCTACCACCTGGCCTGGCCCCCGCCTTAGCTGAAGCCGTTGGGGGCCACTCCGTATTAAGGAAACCCCACTGAACAACTCGACTCCTGGACAAAACATCAGCGTCGAACAGACGTGAAAGGGACGGGGCGAACGACTAGTTATCCTGGAAGGTCTACGGAAATTAATCAGATCCGGGAGGGATACACACTGAACTTTCCGGCTTATTTTCATCCCTCTCTCGACCCACGCAAGTCCGACTGGGCCGGCCCGAAGGCCGCTTCCTCTCTCTTTTTCTCCCCCTCTCGCCGAAGAAATGGTACCTTCCAGATTTCTGCGCGCCGCCTGGTGTTTGAGGTAGAGAGTCGCTC